TATGCACTTTTTTGGACCTTAGTGGAAAAATTGGTGAAGTGGAATATAGTTTGTTATTTAGTTCATAGTATTGTGCCAATGTTGATTTCTTACTTTTGACAAATGTCTCATGGTTCTGTAAGATGGTAACCCCAGGGAAGCTGGATGAAGGATAAAGGAACTCTCTGTACTATTTTTGCAACTTAAAATAATTTCAGAATAAAAAGGCTTAAAACGGTCAGGCGTGGTGGCTCACGACTATAATCTTAGCACTTTGGGTGGCCGAGGCGGGTGGATCATCTGAGGTCAGGAGTTCGAGTTCGAGACCAGGCTGGCCAACATGGCTAATAAAAAAATTAGCTGAGCATGGTGGCCCGTGCCTGTAGCCCCAGCTACTCAGGAGGCTGAGGCAGGATAATCGCTTGAACCCGGGAGGTGGAAGTTCCAGTGAGCCGAGATCACGCCATTGCACTACAACCTGGGCAACACAGCGAGACTCTGTCTCATAAGGCTTAAATAAATAAGAATAAAAAATAAAAAATAAAAAGCAAGAGACTAGGTTTTGGAGTCAGGTAGACCTTGGTTCATGCATGGTTTGTTCCCTTCTAGTGGGCGGCATGCTGGAGTGGACTTAGCAGTGATGTTGTACAATTTCAGGGATTTTGCAGGTCAGTTACTAGACATAGTCATTTTTAACAATTAAATATTACAAGTTTACAATATACCAAAACAAAGGTAATTACTTAAAACTCATTTCCTATTTACTTGAGCCTATTAATGATTATCCGCAGTAGTTATGTTCTATAAAGTTGCCGGGAACACTGAACTAGTGAGTGCAATACTAGAACCCTTGCTTCTGGAGGAACTACCGAAGAAGGTATTTCCTGTGAAGGTTTAGTCCAGGCCTGCAGTTCTCCAGGGCTACGCGGGAAAGGTGGGGGCCTCCTGAAATCCTCTGGACACAATATTTCCATCAACTGCTCAACATATAACCTTGTTTCCTACCCTTCCATTTAAAGACATCTCATTTGATATCTATAGTCGGTTCATGAACATTGCACTCATGGCCAACAGCACTACAACTCACGCTTGATAACACACAATTTCTCCATAAGGCACATCCCGGCTTTCCCACGCTTAGGAACGCTAGCCAGCACTTAAGCACTGTACTTGGAGGCCATTTTAAACAGTGAGATCACCAAGCAAAAGCATAAAAATGTAGAAAATGAAGCACAACATAGACTGTGCAAGGGACACCTGTGTACAGCGTGACAGGTGAACAAGACGGCGAAGCGTTGCTACGTTTGACCGCAGCTGAAAATGTGCATGTTGGGCAATGCATCTTTCATCCCTCTACACATCCCCATAAATGACCATGAAAACACAGTGAGTATTGATTTTGGTGCTGCAAAATACACAGTTGATCCTGGCTATGCATGGATTCTGTCTTTGCAAATTCCCCTACTTGCTAGTTTTAGTTTAGTTTTTACTTGCTAAAACTAGCAAGTAGAAATTCACAAAGATGGAATCCATGCATACCGAGGATCAGCTGTGTATTCTATTATCTGAGGTTATTTCCCTGCCTTGTATCTGTTTAGTGGAAATAGAACTGTGCTACCACGGATATCTTCCCAACTCTTGTGTGCAGTGACTCAGGTCACCCTCGTTACTTGTAACTGACCACAGTGGGAGGATTTACACTACGGAAACTGGCAAATGCTACACATCGGGGCTTGATTTGTTGATTTTCTCCATCACTTTCTTAAACCTAGACAATGTTAATAATGCAGATTCACCTTAAAACTGTATCATACCTGGAACCATTATATTGCAAATAATACAAAAAGTTGAGGAAATGTTCCAGTATTCAAAAACTACTGAATACTGATTCAGCAAAGTTGTCACTCCATGATTGATGAACAAATGACATTCTGAGGGCTTCAATTTCACCTTAATCATTAATACAATAAAATGACAAAATGAGGCCAGGTGTGGTGGCCCATGCCTGTAATCCCAGCACTTTGGGGGGCCAAGGCTCAGGAGTTCGAGACCAGCCTGGCCAATGTGGCGAACACCCATCTCTACTAAAAGAATACAAAAATTATCTGGACATGGTGGTGTGCACATGTAGTACCAGCTACTCAGGAGGCTGAGGCAGGAGAACCGCTTGAACCTGGGAGGTGGAGGTTGCAGTGAGCGGAGATCGTGCCACTGCACTCCAACCTGGCTGACAGAGTGAGATTCTGTCTCAAAAAGAAAAAAAAAAAAAGACAAAATCATGTTTGAGCTACACTCTTGTCAATTGTAACAAGACTGGCTCTGATAAAAATCTATGAAAGCATTGTGAGAACCAATCATCAAAGGGAATTTACCACGGAATATTATGGTTTTTTTTTTTTGTTTTTTGTTTTTTTTGAGATAGAGTCTCACTCTGTCGCCCAGGCTGGAGTGCAGTGGCATGATCTCGGCTCACTGCAACCTCTGCCTCCTGGGTTCAAGAGATTCTCCTGCCTCAGCCTCCCGAGTAGGTGGGATTACAGGCACCTGCCACCACACCCGGCTAAATTTTGTAGTTTTAGTGGAGAAGGGGTTTCACCATGTTGCCCAGGCTGATCTCGAACTCCTGACCTTAAGATATCCACCCACCTCAGCCTCCCAGAAGTGTTGGGATTACAGGCCTGAGCTGCCATGCCCAGCTTTATGTATTTCATTAGACAGATTATTATGTATTCCATTTGTAAGTTGTGTCCTATACATCCTTTATCAGGGACAATATAATTTAAGTGCATTCATTTCCAGAGAGCTGGCTGTTTAAGCCACGCACCACTGTTTCTAGCTGAGTGATCTCAATTACTTAACCACTAAGCCTCAACTTAAGTGTAAAACAAAGAAGAATAAACAGTCCTTCCTTGAAAGATTTTGAGGATTGAATGCAATGATTTTTTCCAATACATTGTTTCCAGGTAGAGACTTCAGGAACCTCAGTCCCCTTTTCCCCATGCACCTCACCTGGGGGACAGACCCAGTGACAGATTCATCCCTGTGCACGCCCACCCCTACTTTCCCAGAGTGGTCCTGTGTGCCTGGACTAAACCGTCACAGGTGGGGAAAACTCACCACTAGGGGGCGGGAGCAAGATGCCTTTGATGGTTGTGGTCCTTCAGACCATGTAACTGATTTGGAATACTGTGACATACTCGCTCTCCCACCCTCCATGGGGAGAGAGAGGATAAATGTGTCAAGTCTACAGCCATGGTGCTGCATTCAGAGAATCCCACTCTAGTGACCAGCATTGGCACCCTGAGAAAATGAGAACCCTTGAGCCCCAGTTTGGACAACTGTTAAAATGTGATTGAAATCTTCGGCCGACCCAGTTGCCCTCCTGCAAACTCACCTGCTTGTTGTCCTAGGCACACGGCATGCTGTGACTACTGCTGGCTGTTTAATACATCGGGGCCCATCCCGGTGAGTCTCACCTAATGAGGAGTCAGCAAAGCAGCCTTCTCCACCCCCATCTTCCTGCCAGATCTCTCAGGATCAGCGTTTACAGTTAATGTGCTACCTGACTTTCCCAGGTAACAAGCATTAGAGGCTCTTCTAGAAACTGATGTTTTAAGGAGGTGATTCCATTGGCGGCAACCTTAAAGCTGCAAAGGACTGGGGTCAATGACAGCAGAGAGGTCGTCCGGCACTTCCTCCCTCGCCCCTCCTCATCTAGGTCTGGCCCTGGATTTTCCTGGAGGAGCAACTTCCTTATTCTTTTCAGGGGAGTTGACCCATGCCTTCTCCCTGGAGTCTTAGCCAGGTCTGCAAGGATGACCCTGCCACCTACTGGTGAGATGTTCGCTCCCACGCAAAGGGCGTCTCACTCCTTAGCTCCCCAGGCTTCCATCTGGCTAGCTGTCCCATTGTCAAGAACTTGCTCAGGCCGGGCGCGGTGGCTCAAGCCTGTAATCCCAGCACTTTGGGAGGCCGAGATGGGCGGATCACGAGGTCAGGAGATCGAGACCATCCTGGCTAACACGGTGAAACCCCGTCTCTACTAAAAAATACAAAAAACTAGCCGGGCACGGTGGTGAGTGCCTGTAGTCCCAGCTACTTGGGAGGCTGAGGCAGGAGAATGGCGTGAACCCGGGAGGCGGAGCTTGCAGTGAGCTGAGATCAGGCCACTGCACTCCAGCCTGGGTGGCAGAGCGAGACTCCGTCTCAAAAAAAAAAAAAAAAAAAAAAGAACTTGCTCAACTATTTTCCCCCTTAAAAGCCAATAGGCAACATCACCACTTGAGAATGAAAATCATTAAAACCACCATGATTAGTTCTCTGCCTGCATGGAATTTACGAATACTGATTTTGTTGACTGTAAACATAGCTGGCTTAATTTATTTCTGCCAGTTATATCCCGACACCTCCATTAATTATTTTATTTTGATGAATAGTTTTACACATCTGGGAGGATTCTGGTCATTCTAATGATATCTTCTTGAAGCTCTTCCAAGATGGATCAATACTGACCATGAAACATCAGATTCTTCTAAAGTGCAGACATCCCTCTTTACCTGAAACACAGCAAAATGTTATCCGGTGTTCTTCAACAAAACTAAAGACAAAGGTGGATTTTTTATAGATTTTAACCCTAGAGGAAATTCCTAGGTGTCTAGGTGGTGGCTCTCCAAATACAAGTCTGACAACTGCATTGCAGACTGCTGCCAAGGAAACAATGACAAAGACCTTTTTTTTTTTTTTGAGACAGGATCTGCTCTCTTCCCCATGTTGGAGTGCAGTAGTACCATCATGGCTCACTGAAGCCTGGTGACTTAAGCGACTGCAACCAGGTAATTAAAAAAAATTTTTTTTTGTAGAGATGGGCTCAAGTGATCCTGAGTTCAAGTGATCCTCCTGCTTCGGCCTCCCAGAGTGCTAGGATTACAGGTATGAGTCACTATGCTTGGCCTGACAAAGTCTTAATAACAACTTTGAAACAGATAATGGCTCAGAATGAATGCCAATGACCACAAAGACAGTTTTCCTTTTCTTCAGAGTTTATTTTGAATTTTCATTTTTGGATAACCAAGCAGCTCTTTAAGAAGAATGCACAGAAGAGTCATTCTGGCACTTTTGGATAGTACATAAGATTTTTTTTTTTTTAATTTTTTTAATAGTCACATTCAGCCCACTTGCTCAATCCAGACTCCCACGTTGGGTGAGCAAGATGAGTCCATAGGATTCCAGAGTTAATACGTAACCGTATATACAAACAGCCAAAAAACCATAACGGTGCCACAGGGATGGAACAGGGAAGGGCATCTCTAACGTGTCCTCTAGTCTATCTTCGCTAAACAGAACCCACGTTACACATGATAACTAGAGAGCACACTGTGTTGAAATGAGGATGCTGACCCCAAATGGCACTTGGCAGCATGCAGTTTAAAGCAAAAGGGACATCCTTTAATAACTGTATAAAATCCAGGCAGTTTCATTAAACGAGTTAATAAAACCAACAACAACAAAAAGCGAGGGACTGTCTGTTGTCACTGTAAAAAAGGCACTTGGAGTTAATGGGACCAGGATTGGAGGACTCATAGCTGATACAGATTTCAGTACGATTTCATTAAAAGGCTTGGATGTTACGAGAGGACACTCGGCGGTTCCTGAAGGGAGACACTGAGATGGACTGCTGAGAAGCAGAACAGATGAACACAAAGGAATCAACTCTTTACAACCAAATTGCATTGAAGCAACAACAAAAAAAGGCAAACCCCAAAACGCAACCTAACCAAAGCAAAATCTAAGCAAAATCAGACAACGAAGCAGCGATGCATAGCTTTCCTTCCAGAGAACGCATACCTTGAGACGCTACGTGCCAACCTAAGTTCTCAATGACAGCTTCACAGTAGGATTATTGTGATAAAAATGACTCAAGCGATGCAAAAAGAGTTTCATCTGTTCCCAGAATCAGAGGGAGAACTGAGGTGATCGTTAGAGCGTAGCGACATCACGTGCGGTTTCTTAATGTCCCTGGTGGCGGATACATCAAGTCCCCGGAAGGACATCTGGACACCACTTTCAGCCACCTCCTTGCAGGGGCGACATCCGCCAAAGTCATCCTTTATTCTGAGTAATAACTTTAATTCCCTTCTAACATTTACACGGCAAACAGGAATGCAGTAAACGTCCACGTCCGTCCCATGGCGGGGCTGCCGTTCCGTTTCCTCCACGAATGGGTACGTGCTTCCATGAGAAAGGATATTTGGCAATTTTATATTCCACAGTCAGGTGGCTCTGCGATAGCTCATTTAATGTTAAACGCCATCAGGGGCCTCTCCTCCCGTTTCTGCCAGGGGCTTTTCTTGTCTTCTCCTTGGTCATCATCATCATCCTCTTCCTCTTCCTCGTGGGCAGATCTTCTCTGATGGGGGCTGACGGCTGGCTCCGGGGGGGCGTCCGCAGTCCGTCTGGTTGTCTCCTCCTGCAGGCTGGGCAGCTGGCCACCACTTCTCCGACTCGACCCCTCCAACAAGCATCGCAGGGCACTGTCCTCGGGGGTACAGACCGTGGTCCCACACTCGCTGCCACTCTGTTCCACGTCATCCAGGTACACGAGCTGCGTGTAGGCCGTGCTGTCTGAGGCTCGAGGCTCTTTCTGCTGGTGCTCTTGGACGGGCGGGTAGTTCTGCTGCAGAGACAAAGCGTCTCCCCTTCCCTTCCGGGCAGATTTTGGTTCATTCATATCCACGCCAGAGTCCAAACTGGCATCATTACTTCCGTTCCTTCCAGCTCTTTGGAGATCAATGTATGAATGTCTAACGTGAGCGTTGGACCTGCCATCCAAGGAGACGAACCACGCCCGGGGGTGTGGAAGTGGCTTCCCACCCCCAAGCTCCATCAGCGCCTTTTCAGTCAGGAGCTGCACCTCACTGTTCATCTGAGCCAAAGCCGCGTCGTTCAGGGAAGCTGGGATGGAGAGAGACTCCGACATGGATGCATTCTGAGGGCTCCACTCCCGGGTGCCTGCGTCCTGCAGGTGCTGCTGAGAGATGGCCTGGGAAGCCAGGGGCTGGGGCTGGATCTGCGAGGACGGGTGTGGGAAGATCCCGGCATGGGGACTGGACAGCTCAGCCTGTAGTCTTTCTAGTTCAAGCTGTTGATCAGCCGGGACGACCAGAGGCTGGCTGACATAGGAGTGGTCCCCGGGGAGTTTCATATAATGAGCCGGGATGACCAAGGCGGGCAGCACCTTCCTGTAAACGCTGTCATTGACCTGGTCGACAGAACTGCAGCAGATCAACTGGCCGGGCCGCGGGAAGGACGTAGGTCTCTCGAGGTGATCGACCGATCGCGACATCATACATTCAGTTGGTCTGCGGTCCAGCAGCTGTTCTTTCTCAGGCGATGAAGGTGCGGGATACAGATGTTCCTGAATGGTGAGTTTGCTTCCTGCAGACGCTGGACCTTCTCTGTCCTGCTTTTCAAATAAAGGCTGTGAGAGCACGGTGTTGTAACTACCCCTGTAGTCAGCATTGCCCGAGGACTCGTAGCCTTCTCTTTCCATAGATTTTCTTGCCTTTAAGGGAAAAACCTCCACTGACTTATGGTAGTCTTTCCCCAGCGTCCCGCTTGGCGTGAGGTTATCAAAGGAGATCTGGCTTTTATCCTCTTCCTTGCAAGACAGGAGCTCCTCCCGGGAGCTAAATTCCTGGGAGGTGCTGTAGGAGAGCTTGAGCATGGGGGTGTGCAGGTCCCCTTCCCCGCCAGGAGACATCATTTCCAAATGGACTCCACTCATCAGCTCCTTCGTGCCTGGGGCCTCGGGGCGGCCGTGGCTGGTGACGGACAGCGGGCCAGGGAATTCTGATGCTCGGCGCGAAAACAGCAAGTTGATGTGTGACATGGAGGTGGACTGGTCTCTTTTGGAACTCTCCAGTCCTGCAGGTAGCTGCAGTTTTCTGTGGTGCTGACGAGGTTTCAAGCACTTCCTCCTGCGACCAAAGACACAATCCAAACCCAAAGATTAGTGATTCTCACAATGGAAAAGCTTCAAGTTTCAGGTAAAATCCTAATTCTCAATTTCCACAGGGAGAAACAAGACAAAACAAGCCATCAGCAGCCAGAAGCCTTCTCACCCACACCCTTTTTTTTTTTTTTTTTTTTTTTTGAGACAGCATCTTGCTCTGTCGCCCAGGTTGGAGTGCAGTGGTACGATCATAGCTCACTGCAGCCTCAACC